TTCACAGGTGTGTGTGCTATTAGATTTTTTTTTTTTTTTTTTTTTTTTTGGTTGGTTGCTTTTACGTTTTATTTTTTTAACCCTGATTTTATTATTTGATTTGATTTTGTTTCTTGTTTGTTTTTTGGTTTTTTGCCCTTCTGGTTTCTCTGCAGTGGAGCAGAAGAATCCACTGCTGCAGCTAAAACAGTCCGGGGCAGGAATCGGCAGTGGCCGTGTAAAGCGTCGCTACAAGAGAAAAAATGCAGTCAGTCCTCTTAAGAAAGGAGCTTCTCCACTCAAGAAGCGTCCAACAACAAACAGCCCAGCCAAAAGCCTGCCACCTATTGGAAAACCACAGGAACCAATAAACATTCGAAAGGCAAGTTTGTCTTCTGCTCTATGCATATGATGCTGCCAACACGTGGAAACATATGATTTAGTTGACTTATCTTTAAAAATTGCAACTTCTTTTCATTCCCAGACTGAAAATGGTCCCTCAACATCAGTTTCAAAACCAGAGATCCCACCAGCTGTGGTTAAATTGGCTGCTCGTCCTCCTCCAGCACTGGCAGGAGCCTGTGACTTGACAGACATTAAAACACTACTACGGGAATGGGTTACCACCATAACAGGTACACAGATGTGTTATGATGGCGTTTCCTGTGGTGCTGCTGTTGTTGTTGATTTTTATGGGTTTCCAAAAGTGCATGTTTATCTATCTATCTATCTATCTATTTATTTATTTATTTATTTATTTATTTATTTATTTTAGAACCCATGGAGGAGGACATCTTGCAGGTGGTGAAATATTGCACTGACTTAATTGAGGACAAAGATTTGGAGAAGTTGGATTTGACTATGAAATACATGAAAAGGTTAGTTCTGTGGAGTTAAGATTCCTCAATTTAACTGTCTTCCTCTTTCTTTGTTTTCAAGGTTTCACTTGCTTGTTATGCTTGAGCTTTTTTTTTTTTTTTTTCCCCTGCAGGCTCATGCAGCAGTCAGTGGAGTCTGTTTGGAGTATGGCTTTTGACTTCATCTTAGACAACGTGCAGGTGGTTTTGCAGCAGACTTACGGCAGCACCCTGAAGATAGCATGAAGAACGACGGGGTGCTCTCCTCGCTACATGCGATCGTTGTAAACAACACTTTTTTGATTTGTTAATTTCACAATAGAAATCATGATGTCTAAATTCTGACTTATGAAAGATACAAATAATGGCTACACTTTTATGAGAAAGAGCCATGACAGTATTTTGAAGTATTTTGGACAAAGCGGTTGTTTTTATCACAGAACAATGATGATAGTAGCAGCTTTTTGGAAACTCACTTTCATTCACTCTTATTTTCCTACGACTCATTTTCATATGCAAGATTTTATTAAGGGCAAAAAAAGCATTAAGGGTATCTGTTTTTTATAGCACTGCAAAACTTTCAGCTGGTATTAGATCGCATACTCCTGTGGTGACCTGACCATTAGTGCTGTAGATCTGCTCCAGAGATCTGTTTCCAGAGACAAGTCAGTTTCATTTTGGGTTAGAGAGTCACAGAGAGTCAGATCTGGAGAGTGGGGCAGTTGTGTTAATGTGGCCAAAAAAATGATGTGAGCAGGCAGGTGATTACACATGCCACAGGTCAGTTTTTGTTTGTTGTTTGTTTGTTTGTTTTTGCATGCATCAGGATCTTAACACTGAACCCTACATTCACTGTGCACATAAATGTCCAAAAAGTTAAAAACAAGCGCACTCCTCGTAGCACTCGACGGCTTTCTGGCTCGATCCTACCAACGAAGGCTGCTGTTAGATCTCCGAGTCGTAGCTGGACTCTGAGACAAACAATAACATCCGTTCCATCCAGGCCTGATTTCAAAATGTATTTTTTGTTTTCCTTTTGGGTTTTTTCCCCATCTTGAGCGTTAGAATCTGGTATGTTAAATTCTCCTCGCTTGGATACGTGATCATGTTAAAACAAAAAGTATATTTCAGCAGTTTTACAAACCGCTTACCTTGTAGCATTCTTTATACATAAGACATTTTCAGAAATGATTGGAAAATTTTTGGGGGGATTTTTCCCCCATCATTATTTTATCGGTGCTCTTTGCCACTAGCACTTATCTGTGAACCATCTACTGCTGCGTGCAGCAGTGTCGCTTTTTTTTTTTCTTGTTTCTCGTTTCTTTCCAAAAAAAGAAGTGCCAAACGCTGTTATTATACTGTGTAAATAATGTTTTAAGGATCTTTGTCTAAAGTTTTAAAAGAAAAAAACATGTATGTAGAGAAATTACCTCTTGTATTGTTTACCGGTAGTGGATTCTTAGTAACTGTCTCTAAATTGTAACTCTTTAAATGTTTCTAAATGTTCCAACATGGAAGTCAGAAGCTGGCCAAAGCACTTGAGGTGACGTTAACTGTTGATTCTCAGTAGCACTCTGATATAGGAGGATGTCGACAGGGGTTATGGCAATCAATGAGTAGCCTATGCATTTCTGTTTTTTCTCACATAACAATGAAATGTCCCTTCAAGACTACGTGACATTAAATAAAGCATTTAGTGTTTATGCTGAATGTGCATAGGAAGAGGCGATCTGATTTTTAACTCTGTCACCCACAGTGTCTGATTCACACCCTCGAGACACTTTGTACAGCTTGCAGCTGTGTCGCAGTATTTGTGTGAGGTTTGACTTTAACAGCAGATGCAGCTGCTTGACTTGTGATCGCACCGTGGAGGATAATTTGCTTGCAGTTAAAATGCGTGTTTTAAAAGATAATTCTGATATGCAAACCAAATCAATCGGTCATCTTTTGAAACTTGTTGAAATGAATGTAATTTAGAATGTGTGATTCAATTTCAAGACGTTGCTTCTCTTCACCTCTCACGTGTTTCCCGAGGGGAATGGCCAGAAGTTAAAATAAAATAATAATAATAAATTGGCCTGTCTTGTCTAATCTGGCTCGTGCCTGAAGACCTGAAGCTGTGAAACTTGTTTGTAAGTTTTCTAAACCTTGGTAATAAACTGTAAATTCTGTATTCATTTATTTGTCTTTGCCTTTCTATAAACTGGCCTTCAAAAGGACTTTCAGCTGATAGAATATGGTTATTAAAATGATCTTTCAGTGTGTCTGTTGTGTTATTCCCAGGTCTGACAGTGATGAGCATATAAATATGCTAGACTGTTAGAGATGTGTATTATTTTGATGCCAAAAAACATTGAATTTAATAACTTATTTTGTATTGTTTAAATGGGATAAAGTTGACAAGCCACACCATGAAGATATGGGAAGGAGTTCTTGAAGCTAGCTTAAGGAGAGAAGCGAGGATCGACGAGCAGCAGTTTCATGCCAAGAAAAAGCAGATCTTTAGTGCTTGCTCTTTCTTTTTTTTTTAATCTTTGGAGGTCTAGAGAAGGCATATGATAGGCTGGCAGGAGAGGAACTGTGGTACCTCACTAAAGAGTAAGTGGTAAAGAAGTATGTGAAGGTGGTGCAGGACAGTGAGACAGTGGTGAGATGTGCAGCAGGAGAAACAGGTGGCTTGAAGATGGGGGATTATATGAAGAATTGATGAATATATAGGACAAAGGAGGTTGCTTTTGGAGCTGTAGAGCGTATAAGCCATGGCAACCGCTTTAATCTTCACATTTGGACTTTATTCTCAAAATAGAATTTCGATTCCCCCCCTCTTAAAATGCTATTTCAAGTCTTGCCTCGAAATTTCGACTTCATTCATGATGTTTTGCATATAAACACGGGATTTACTGCAAACAATATAACAATATATTTTTTCTTTAATACATCAGATGACAACTGAGCTTTTGGGTATAAACAAAAGCAGCAGTATAGCGTGAAAAAATATAACACACACACACAAAATAAATTAATAAATAAAAATTAACCCGTAGTATTTCACGAGTTGCCCGGATGTACTTCCCACGACGTCAGACGGGCCCGCTGTGACGTTGTATCCGCAGAGAAACGTTTCGTGCGCGGGCTGAGGTGTTGACGAGCATCTGTCACCTTATTAGGTAATCATTTAATAGCAGCTTGGTTATACGTTATATTTTCGATAAAACGCACAGTTGACGTTCATTAAAAAAAAAAAAAAAGATCAATAAAACTGTTTCCAAAACTGTTGCTGTAACGTTTGTTACCAATGGCGGGGCTAATGCTAGCTAGTTAAGATAGCAAGCAAACGCAGACTGAGGGTTTATAGGGAGATTTTTGTTGAACTGCTGGCGTGTAGAAGTACGTGTAGCTACGTTTCTTGGTTTGTATTAGTTAGCTGCAGATACGTAAGAGGTACCCAGTTACGGTCTGTGCCTGTACCAGCTAACTGTAGGCACCACCGGGCAGAAACAAGGTGTTCCCCCAGCCGTTACTGGCTTTGTCTGCGGCGTTAGCTAGCTAAAAGAGGAACTCTCGGACCAATTTCTGTGTAAGCAACGTTGCTAACGTTACATTGTTGTACATACGTGATCACACCAGCTCACAGTGTAGGGCTAAAACAGGGTTTTCCCCATTATAAAATTTGAGAACAAAGGCGATGACGAGATTCCTTTCTCTTTATTTTGCGTCTTTGCGCATAAATAAGTCGTATGAATAAATGAACTATTTCCTAGTCGTCATGCGCTCCATCACACTACCTTTGAACTTGTAGCCAGTGCAGTGTGGATATCACATGACGGATACACATCAGCCACTGACATTTGCAGAAAGCTTGTATCAGCTGATATCGATATTAGGCAGTGTGATTTGTTATTGTCCTGCTGTCTGGTGTCATGTCTCACCATTGTTTATCTGCCCATTTTCAAACAGAGTCAGGCAGCCATGGCTAACCAATCAATGGAAATCATAGCAAAAGTTTTGGAGCAGTCAGCCAAGCTGGTGGAGGAGCAGGTGGATGCCCAGTTGGCCAAGCTGAATGAAATGGATGAAGATGATTTGGAGAGGCTGAAGGAAAGGCGATTAGAGGCACTAAAAAAGGCCCAAAAACAGAAGCAGGTGTGTGGGACAATTTATAATCACTGTAGCATTTTGCTGTGTTAATTTCTTAAAGCAGATAAAATAATTTGAATCACTGAGAAGATTCACTTCTTATCCGCACCATCAGCAGAACCTAGTCTAAAAAATGAAACTTTAGACACTACAATTTGTACTGAAGTCACTCAGTTCTTTGAAGGATCATAATAAAACAACTGGTGTCATGTTTATAGACTGTCTTGCTCTGAAGTTAGGCTACACAGCAATTTGGTCTATTATTCAAACCCTTTAAAGAGTGTTTTCATTGTACTCCACTATAATAGCTTTTCTTGTATTTGTAATCTTTTGTTTTGCTTTTCAGGAGTGGTTGTCTAAAGGTCATGGGGAGTACAGAGACATATCCAGTGAGAAAGACTTTTTCAGTGAAGTGAAAGACAGCAAGAATGTCGTGTGCCATTTCTACAGAAATTCAACCTTCAGGTAAGTCACTAAATGATGCAACAGGACCATGAATTAGAAATGTAATGTAGTCCAAAAAACAAAACAAAGAATCAGAGGTAGTTTATAGAAAATTAATATGTTCTGCAAATTAATGAATTTATTTATTAAAATCATCTTTTCAGACAAAATGACATTTCCTACGTGTGAAGTGTGTTTCAGTTATCTATAACAATCAACATTGTGCCTTGTTTAGTGTCAGTTTTTTTTTTTTACTCAGTCGCCAAGGTATTAATCTGTTGATGTCACACATCTGAACTTGTCGCTCTGTCCTTAGATGTAAGATCCTCGACAAACACTTGGCCATCTTGGCAAAGAAACACGTTGAGACCAAATTCATCAAACTGAATGCAGAGAAGGCCCCATTTCTGACAGAGAGGCTGCGCATCAAAGTTATTCCAACTCTGGCTTTGCTTATTGATGGAAAAACAAAGGACTATGTGGTCGGATTCACTGACCTGGGAAACACGGACGAGTTCACCACAGAGATGCTCGAATGGAGACTTGGCTGTGCGGACGTTATTAACTACAGGTGAGATGTGCGGTAAAATTCACCAGAGCACCTTATGTGTTGGGAATGAAAACGTTTTATCTAACATGATCCCTTTACCTGTTTCTAGTGGCAACCTGAGGGAGCCCCCAACAGCGACACAGAGATCAGGAACAAAGTTCACAAAAGTGGAGAAGAAAACCATCAGAGGGCGAGGTTACGACTCGGATTCTGAAGATGACTGAAGAGGCTTGACAGTTGTCGGGTTTACTCTCTCAGGGCTACCTCATTACTAAAACTCCAGCAGACAGCCCACTTCCTTTTTTCCCTCTTAGTAATTTCTACTTTTTTTAATTAACGCAATCCACTGATTCATTTTATTTAAAAAGCATGTTTGTTTCAGCCTTATTTAGGGACTTCTCCACCATGATTTACATTGGAATATCTGAGTAATAAAATGTATGGTTCATGAACAAGGGAGCACACTGAGCTGTTAGCTGTGTTTTGTTTTTCTTGATTTACAGGTGTAATCATTTATTGTAGACGGCTGTCTCACGCACTTTCCTGTAACCTTTGTACGTCTCGTGTTGGAGCCAAGATCATCTTTGAAGAGCAAAATACATTTTTACATGACATTTCATGGTAGCATGAGTTTGACCTAACTAATGCAGACTTAATAAAAACAAGAAAAGGATGGAAAAAAAACTGCTTGTGTATTTTTTGTGTTACTTCTTCAGGGTTAGAGGCAGCGTATTTGCAAGAGTTGTATGTTGCCTTTATGGATGAAAATAATACATCCTTAAACTCACTGGATACTTTTGTCTTCAGAACAGTCTAAATTCTTCATAGCATAGATTGAACATGGTGCTTGAAATATTCCTCAGAGATTTTGGTCTATATTCACAAGATTACACAGATGAAAGCATCAGAAGATTTGTGGACTGTGATCAACAACACTTGGGTGGGTTGTAGTGTTTAAATGATGCTCTGTTGGTACACAACCTTGGAGAAGGTTGTGTTGGAAAATCCCAGAATATAAGCAGTTTCTGAAATACTCAAGACTGTCTGGCATAAACAACCATGGCACACTCAATCACCCTGAGGCATTCTGATACTGCAGCAGGCTGTAATGACCATGTCTACATGTCTAAATGCATGGAGTTGCTGCCATGTGATTGGCTGATTAAATATTTGGATTAGCAAGCAGTGTGCCATATGTACATAATGAAGTGGCCAGTATAATTACTGGCAGTGTTTTTATGTGAGTCTTTGTTTTTAGAAAACAAAATAGGCAGAGTTCCCTATTTGCTGTTTTTGCCTTTAAACTGAAAACTATAACCATGTAAAAACATTTTATGGGCGTGGATTATTTGTAGCTGATGAGACTGGCTGGTGCTATGCTGAGCACGCTGAGCATTACTACAAAACTAAAAAAACGCAACACAAAAGGGGGCCCTCGATTTCTATAAATAACTGTTTGGCAGTCTGATACAATTGAGGTGGTGAGCAGAAAACTTGTCTTTGGGATTTAGGAAGTCATTTTTAATTTTAACAATCTGAACCACCAACTGTTGTTGAATTATCTCAGAACCCAAATTACACTTTTTACCAAATTACTAGCTGTCTGTAAAATTAATATGCTGGTATTCAAATTGCTAAACTGTTGATATGTAGAAAAAATAATAAAAATAAATCAAGTTTTCTGAAAAAGTTTAATGAGTAATTCCTGAATTAACTCAAACTTAGAACAGTGGGTTTGCACAGAGTTGAATTTTTCAGATGCGACGTTAATGTCAGTATTCCTGCTTCATCAGGATGGTACTTTGCTCAATCATTTGAGAGACAGGTTGATGAGAACATTTAATCATATTCATCTGCAGCTCAGCATCAAAACACAGGAAACAGCAATCAAGAAGTCTGGTTGGTGCCACGGCTTTCTCTCATTGCAGAGAGAATGACAACAGGACATTTTCCAGGACATTCACACACGCAACAGTGGAGCTAAGATTCGATTGCCTTGTTGTCTACAGGTTGGAGGAGGTGGTGTACAATAAGTTCTCCTTTGCTGTTGATGTATGCATCGCCCATGTCATGCTCAGCAGGGAGCCCATAGGGAGTCTTTAGTGGCTGTATCCTGAAGGTATCAGAAAGAGATGGCAAAGGAGATATAACAGTATAGATATGTAGGTATCTCAGGCAACCTAAATTTGAAAAAACTAACTTTTTTTTAATAGTACCTTAAGAGTGATGTGTTACTACTTTTGGTTAATCAATCCTACCTTACAAGGTGCTTGACAAACTTCAGTTGGCTGTTGACTGCAGGAGTATTTTTATGAATTACGGGGACGTGAGCCTAAGTGCAAGATAAAGACAGAATATTATTCCAAAAGATAAAGGCTGTGAGCGTCTGCATGAGGTGACACACTCTGTAGTCAGTCAGCATCTTTCAACAGTCACTGTTAAAAGATGCTGAAAGATGCAAAGAATTAAATGGAAATTCCTGAACTAAAGCTGGCAGCAGTGTTTTGTTGTATGTGCAAAAAACACTGAACATGTTACATTAAGTTAATCCAAAAGTAAAACAAAAACAATCTGTAGCCTTTACAAAAAGGGAACCCAGTTTGGGGTCCTGTACCATGACAGAAATTTTACCTTTTGAAGCCCAAGGTGTTTTATTATCTCTTTCTCCCAGTATGGCCTTCGCAGCGCACTTTTGACCCGCGTCACTATATGCAGCTTGTGCGGCTGGTCTGGATCGCCACCATATTTCTCGTGCTCTTTCGATCGCTCAGCAAAAATCTGTTAAGAAAATGCAGAATAAAGGATTATCATTATTCCATAGCAGGATTCATCTGTAATGACGGCCCTAAAGCAACACTAAAAAAAAAAATCTGAGTAGCTAATAATCCACCTAAACCATTTTGTCTACTGGACCTGCTGGAATTATACCCAAACTTACTTAATCCAAATAAATATTAATGTAAGAGAATTATATTTTGACACACACTTGGGTAGGGCCACAAGACATTACATACTTTGAGTGTTGCTAATTACTTTACAAATGTACAACATTATAGATTCTAAATTTATTCTTACCTCTTGTGGGATTCTGGATTTGGAGAATCTGCTTCGTGCTGACACATACCATGCACAAGGTGACAAAACTGGAGCTTCTGTCAGGGTCTGTAACATATGCAAACAGAGAGAAGGTAAAAAGCAAAGCCCAGTACCAAGGAAACTGTGTTTACTTACATATGCAGAAAATCTAAAAAGTTCTGTAGAGTTAGGTCTCAGAGATAGATTGCCGTTACTGGTGGTAGATATTCTTTTCTTTAGGGAACAAAAGTTGTTTTTTTTTTTTTAAATGATTTAAAAATCTGATATTCTGACACATCAGCAGATATTTTGTTGTTATCTTTCAGATCCACAAAATATGAACAGATTTCCCTAACATTTGTCATGTGTAGTAATCCGTTTACAGATTTACGCTTTGCCTGACTCTGGTCAGGTTGTTGTATTTGTGTTACTCCTAACAGCTAATAGCAACAGGGAAGTTGGAGCGTGCCCTCTGGTGGACAAACTACACAGATCACATTCCTCCCATATTAGCTTTTCATCTCCGGATCCCTGTTAAATCTAGAATTGGATATAAAATTATTCCTTCTTACATACATCTGATACACCTGAGCACTTCCACTTGTCTCTTTTCACTCCCCTTCTGTTTACACACCACTGCACTAAGTCATTATTGCATACATACATTTTTGCCTTCTCTCTCTCCCTTAGTCTGCTTTTTTTCCTACCTCTCTTTGCTCCCCCCCCCCTTCTATTTCCTCTCATCGCCCTTTCCAGTCACAGCATATGCCTGCCCCTCCATGAGGTGGTTCTGTCAGAGGTTTCTTCCTGTTAAAAGGGAGTTTTTCCTTCCTACCATCACAAAGTGCTTGTTCATAGGGGCTATTTGAAATCATAGTATTTGATTTCTCAAATACTCCAGAGTCTTTACCTTACAGCATAAAGCATATTGAAGCGATTTTGATGTAAACTGGTGCTATATATAAAATAAACCTGAACTGAACGGAATCTTAAATGACAATATTAGTATTAAAGTTCTAACTTTAATAATTGGAGCACTTTCTGCAGCAAATGTAGCCTAGTGCACATCACAGCTGACTGGATAGTGGTGCAGAAAAGCCCAGTGGCTTCACACAACAAGTTGTGAGTTTCATTAATGCTGAGTTAGTTACAATGGCCTCGTTTTCTATATATATATTTTTTTTTTACATAACTGAGCACGTTGTATATGTATCCAGGACATTGGTGATTATATTTGAAAGTTTCGCGTCCTAAAATTCAGCACTGCAGTCATCTAGCAAACAAAATAAATAAATCCAGTAAACCTAGAAAAATCCAGTAACTATTCTCCAAGTCCCATCCCTGATTTGGGTTTCAGGTTTCATGTTTAGCTGGATTTTTCCTCAAGCAGCGTTAAACTAAATGAGCCCTTATGTCAAATTAAAGATGTACGAAAGACTTTATAGACAGTTCAAGTCTGAAACATTAAAAACGTGCAGTGATGTACCCACCTTGACGGATAAAAAGCTCAAACTGCGACAGACAGCTGACATGTTGTGTTCCTTCTGCTACTCTTTAGCTAACAGGGGCTACGAGACAAGGTTACAGCCTTGCTAACCGCTAAATAACACGGAACTCGAGCCTAACTAACCGCTATGAAAAACTGACCTATAAACATACCATATTTACCAAGTTACACATTTAAACATTAATTCGGCACTGAAAACAGCAGTGAAACAGGAGAGTCACGCTGCTGTCAAGCCCCCTCTCTCCTCCGTCTTAACCGGAAACGCCGGGGAGTTACATTAAAAGAGCACCGCCTCTTGGAGAGCACCGGCAATTTGCACATTGTTCCTACCCTCATTTTCTAGTGTGATAAATATGTTGTTTGAATAAATTTGGACTTAATAAAAACTGAAAATACTTTAACTGTGTGTTTTTATTTAAAAAAAAACAAACATAACCATCAATTTTCTAACCAAAGTCATTACGTTTCTCCGGGAGTTATTTTTATGGGGCACTCGTGGGTAGAGCTACTTCTCTCAGCTTCTTTCCTGTCACTGGTGAAACGTGAAGCTTATTTAGTGTTGTATATGTCTTAAAAGACAGTTGAAAAACAGAACAATGACACAAAACCACCTGTCGGGAATGGAGGCGTCCGCCGTGTCTGTCTTGAAGCGAGCGGTGGAGCTGGACCAGAGCGAACGTTTCCAGGAGTCTCTCATCTGCTACCAGGAAGGCATCCAGCTGCTTATAGACGCGTTAAAAGGTCCTCCTTTAAAAATAAATAAATAATAATAATTACATATTTTAAACATTGCTCTGAATTACGCTGAACGTCTTATTTTAATGTTCTCTTTGTCGTGTGAACAGCTGTAAAAGATGACTCAAAGAGAGGACACTACAGAGAGAAGATAAAGGGCTACATGGACAGAGCAGAGCAAATCAAAGTTCATGTGAATCAGATGAAGGAAGGTAATTTACCAGTAATGGAGCAAAAAAAGGGCAAAGTGGGCCGGGCAAAGATGAATTACCCTGATCGACTGAGCCTCTTGTTTGCAGTGGTTTTGACTGTTAGACCTGTAGCACCTGTGTGTAAATGAGAGGGAGACAGGTGTAACAGTGGAGCTCCAAGGGGCAGAGGTAGATGTTGCGACCCCTAAAGGGAGCAAGAAGTAGAACTTTGTGGTAATTTTGACACAAGCAAGAACTCAAATCAGGTGAACAAGGTGCTTCAGTGTTGCATATAGCCAAATTAATAATTTGCACAATCTGACTGACCCTGTGGATTTGGGTTGCTGAAGCCCACTTTGCCCTGTAATCCAGCTCTAGCTGAATATTGACTGTGCGATCTTCTCAACAACCAAATATAGACAGGATCCTATTCCAGTGTAGGACTGTGCTGGTTAAGTTTTTAGATTTGGGGGGAAAATATATGGCAAGAGCCACAGCTAAAGAAGGGGGTTTTCAAAATTTGTGTTTCTCTTCTCTTCCCTGATAGATGGGAAGTACCACGAGCAGATAAGAATATCAGAGGATTCTACTGGTTACAGCTATGAGGTTCTGTTCAAGCCATACATCAGCAGCGCTCTCACTGAAGTCTGGGTGGAGGACCCGTACATACGGCACACCCACCAAGTAAGAGTTTTGTCTTCATTAACTGGGGTTTTTATTTATTCCACTCTGTCATCAGTCTTTTATCAGGCTTTGTTCAGAGGTTAGAGCTTATCTTTAATGAGTTTATCCATTAATTTGATACCGATAGAATGATACTAGAGGACTAAGTCTGCAATACACATATACATTTTCCGCCTTGGGTAGCAGGACCAGCCGACAGGGGGACATAATCTCTTTAACGTGTCCTGGTCTGCGCCAGGGTCTCTCTGTGGCCAGAAAGCCTTCAACATTTAGATGGCTGAAAGATTCATTGATTAATAGAACTATCACAGATTAGTGGAAGTTAAACAAACAAATGTTATAAAAATCTGTCTGGTAGGTTATGAAAAGACTGCTAAGCTAATTTTAATTAAACTTTTTGTAGAGGTCGTGTATGGAAAAAGGAGGAACACATTCAGTTATGATGTGGATTTTGATGAAAGCCTGAACGCATATACTGAAAATCTTTTTTTGCTCTGATCATGTGTTGCAAGCTGCAAGCAAGCAGCTTTCTCCTTATTAGTTTGACTAGCACTTTATAATAAATAATTGTAATTTTATGTTTAGGATTTAAAAATCAGCCCTAAACTGTACCAACCTTATATAATATGCCAAACAAAGCCCTCGCCTTTCGTCTCACAAACAGTTGTACAACTTCCTTCGGTTCTGTGAGATGCTGCTAAAAGCCCCCTGCAAGGTGAACAAGATCCACCTCCTCACGTCGCAGGATGAAGTGAGTTACTCACACAATAGAGCTGCATTTTATAGTCAAAGCTGAACAGCCACTGCTGTCTCCTCTGTTTAGTTTATACTGTAATTTCCCGTCCCGCAGGCTGATAGTGGCCAGCAGAGCGGCGCTCTGGCCGAGTTGAAAGAGAGTCTCAGCTCTCACGGAGTGACTCTAGACCTGCAGTACTCCTCCACTATCCATGACCGGGAGATCAGGTACACCTGCAGATTTTCCTCATTTACAGCAGCCACATACGTGCAGCGTGAGGATTTTTGTTTTCAAATGGAAAGAAGTTCATCCTTGTGACATCCGATGTTCACTTCTACATTAACACTCCATTTCTCACGGTCTCTTTTATCCCAGTAAATTAAACCTAATTTTATTTTTAGGTTCGATAATGGCTGGATCATAAAAATTGGAAGAGGGTTGGATTACTTCAAGAGACCTAAGGTGAGACTACGCATTATATACTTATTAGTATTCATCTGTAATTACGGAGTGGCTAAAGTGAACGAGATCTTTCTGTCATTTGTCTCGCAGGGCCGATTCTCTGTTGGATACTGTGACTATGACCTCAGGCAGTGCCAGGAGACCACCGTAGACATTTTCCACACCAAACACACAAAAACTCTATGAGACTCACAAACCTAAAATGATTATTTTTTGCCAAGCCGTTTAATTTACTTACCTGCCTTCCAAACACAAGCAGATCTACAGTATTGTTGGATTTGCCTTAGCTTGCGGGTGTCTGGGGACTAACTTTTATAACAAGATGGGTTACTGTTTGATTTCTGCTGCACTGGAACATCTTAAATTTCTGCTAACTGTACTGCCGCTGCTATTGGTGGATTTTTAAGTTCAGTTTTCAGTTCTTCAGTTTTCTATGATTTTTTTCTGTTTTCTATGATATTTATGAAAAATATGGATATTTTTATCATTTTGGTTTTTTTACTTCCACAGATTGTAATTCTACAGAGACCTTTTTTGGGGAAAATTAATTATTTCAAAACATTTTTTCTAGATTACTTTACACAATTAAAAATGTATTTTTGTTTAAATCAAATTTAAATTAAAAAATTCAAAACCAAAACATACTTAAAACGCATTAATAGTAAAATGTGTTACAGGATTGCTAACTTTAGGCCCTTTTTAAATGAATTGCTTATGATGGGTAATTGGACCTCTAGGTAATGAAACATTAGGCCCTTTTCGGTTGACTAGAAATGTACCGTCCTGATTCTATTAGTAGATTAAAGAAACCAAACATGGCCCTAAATATCGTTTTGTACTGAAAAATGAATAAAATGTAACAGTTTTTAAACTATTTATAATACATAAATGCAGAATAAATATTAAAACTGACCAAAGTGTGCTGAAAGATTGTGAGATGCTTTCTTGTTTTCTAACTGAAAAGATTTTGTGAACTTGGAAAACTGACTAAAAAATGGTAAATGGCCTGTATTTGTATAGCGCTTTACTTAGTCCCTAAGGACCCCAAAGCGCTTTACACTACATTCA